CAATCACCACAACACCGATGGAGTACGTTTCAGGCTCATTGATGATGAGAAGAACGCCGTACCAAATACCTAGAGCAAAGCTGGCGTAGAGCGTGCCCCAACTGACGGAGTTTCCAATGGCGGTGACGATGTTTCGCTTGCAACCGGATAACATCGCCGGCTTGAGCATCTTCTCGTAGCGACTGCTTTCTTTGTGCTGTCCACCAAATGCAAATACTGTTCGAATTGCGGAGATCGCCTCCTCAGCCACCGAACTGGCCACTGAGTAAGATTGCAGTTCTTGTTGAGTATACCGCGACTGGAACTAAGACACATAGAACAAAAGGGTACAAATAAGTAAAGTTAAGTTGACTTAAACAAAGCAGTGTCCACGTACCCGTGTCATAATGTACGATGAGGCGCCAATGATGGGCGCCATAGCAATGATTACCAGTGACAGTTTCCACCCGTAGACAAGGCCAACGATCAAGTTCACCTAAACAAGTAAACAGTGTCAAACTCGAGGGTAAACAAAAGGGTAAACAAAAAACCTACCACACAACCGGTGACATTGTAAATGAGCAAACCGAGGTTTTCATTGATGCCCGACTCAAACTTCTTAAAGTCCGATGAGATTCGTGAGGCAAACTCGCCTGAGCTTTGCTGGTCGTACCAGGCGACTTCCTGTCGTAGAATGGACTTAAAGTAGCGCTTCTTGATCTCACTCATCTGCCGCAGTGAGAACATCTGAAAGCAGTGAACGTTGGCGTAGTTTCCGGCAATAAAGACCGCCATGACCACCAGCAGCAGTCCCGAGAGCAAGTATATCTGACTCATAAACTCCTGCACCAGGTGATCTGTAGGCAGGTTAGCATCAGTGGCATTGGCGTACGCCACCTCAAAGTCCACAAAGACGTCCACCACATTGCCAAATAGAATGGTCATCACGGGCCATCCTGAGCCGGTGGCCACTGAGCCGAGGAAGCCGATGAAGACAAAGATGTAATCGGCGACAGTGGAGTATTTTAGCTGCAAGGTTATTGAAAAGATTATTTAATGCTTTGGAGTTGCTTTCTGAGCAACTTACGATATCCAGTATCGATATCATGTCTTTGGTCGGCTTTTCATCATTTTTCCCTTTTTCGATGTCATTTTTCTCAGCTTTGAGGACAGTGTTCTTCTTTGAAAGATTCTTGTTCAGGTCAAATTCTCTAAAATGCAATGATGATGCATGAAAATAGCCAATCACCAATCAATCAGCACTTACTTTTTTGTCATTTTTTGTTTTGACTAGAAAAAACTCAAATAAAAAAACAAACAACTTCAGGTAAATACTGAAAACACTTTAATCACTTTTGACAAAATAAAAAAATAATTCACAAATGATCAGCAAAAACAAGTCAAGGCTTGACCAGAAAGGATTTTGTTCTTAAGATCAAATAGACACTAGTTTGTAATCGTACACTGGAAAAGTAGAAGAGCAGATAAGAGAAGGAAAGATAAGGTTTGATCAGCTGCACAAAACCATCACTCATGGCTTGCTCATCAAATAGTGGAGGTGCTAAGGG